TCATAACTCAGACAATAACTCGGACGAGCGGCGGGCCTTCACAGCCTGCAGGGCGGGCGGCGAGCCTCAATTTGTGGGCGTTGTTTTGTTGCGGACGAGCGGCGTACCTTCGTTACTAAGCTATGGCCCAAATGACCGAAATGGGAGATAACTTTTGAAGTGTCGTCTTCGTTGTGCTGTACCTAAACGAAAGCTTGAACATGGTAATAAAAAAGCAAACTTATTGCCTACATTTGCAAACGCGGGGCAACGCTCACAAATCTTTTCGATCCTTGGAAACGCTTTTTATATTCTTGTTCTACCCCTTCCTCGCTTTTCCCAGAGCGTTGGCAGATGAGATAATAATTGGTATGTTGCAGCCCTCGCCATGTGTGCCGTCTGATGAGCCTTGTAAATGTCTCATACTCTTTTTCCTTCATCCAAATCTGGAAGTGCTACAGAAGACCTGTAAAAATCAAATTCAGGAAAGAAAACGAATCACACCACGTGTCGATCTTATTTTCCGTCACATCCTCACTGATGTTATCCGATTCTTTGCAGTGATGCGCGAGCGCAAAGTGGCAGTAGTGAGGTTTATGACATGCTGGACAGGTTACGTTAAACTTCGATAAGAAAACTTCGCTTTCAGCCTTGTCCTTTTTGTATAATTGAGTTGTTGAATCAAAGCGCACACCGAGGAGGTGAAGTAGAGAGCATAAATGCACACTTTTTGGTGCTTCAAGCCACTTGCAGAGTAAAATACTAGGCCACATGTGTTACATTGACGCTCCTTTCTTCCCGAATATTTGGCCTTTTCCAATTCCGTCTTCACTTCAGCAATCAGAATTTCGCCGCAACTATGTATGCTGCGCAAATGGGCGTACGAATTCTTCCGCAAATATGGCCCCTTCTGGCATAGATGGCAAAAAGCCTTAGTACTCATCGAGTGGATTAAGACTGAAATGTCATACACAATGCAGTGATAATACAAATAAGGCACAAGGAGGAGCATAAGATGGTATGAATGACGGCTGAAATATAATATATATTCACTAAGCTATACTTCTCAAAAAAGAACTCAAAAGACGTATTGAAGAGAGTACTATGTGGAAAACAATCTGCGTAGTGAAATTACAGTAGAACGAATGCATTACAATCGTAGTTTGCGCTCTATCGCGAAATCAGCCATTGGTCTGCTGTATATCTTCCGTCTCTCTCATAATATCCTTTATCCAAATGAAGCCCCACATAGGATTGACTTACTAGTTGATAATATGGTTCATTCAGCGTTCTTATATTGCGACTAGCCGGCCGTCTGTCCTTTTCGGAATGACAATCGGCCGCCAAAGTGCTGCACTGGATTCCACGGATAGCGACAATCCCTTTCAGTTTCAAAGTTTCAAGGACTTGAAACGTGCTTTTCAAGAACAGGTAAGAATTTCACTGGGCGTCCAGTGGGCGTTTTTAGGGTTGTCAGCACCGCAGCGGACTATACTTTATTTAGATGGCGAGGTCGAGAAAGCATAAAGGAGACGAATCCGATTTCAGCGCAGCTGTCAGAGAAAGCAACGACCGAAGGTGAAATCTGATGACGATTAATTTGGTAATGCTATTGTTGATATATCGCTTAGGGCCGCTGAGCTTGCCAGCTCGACTTTCTATTACTGGTCGTCACTCTTGGATAGCTCCAATGTGGATTGCGTCCTTACTCAAGAAAGTTCGTGAACGTCAACTTTGTGGTGCAGGTACTGTAAGATCACGGTTAAACATTGTAGAGCAGTGCGTGCTTATCGATTCCACGCCATCGATGTATAGCGGAAGAGAAAGGGCACGATTCACACTTTGTGTGAAAAATGGCACAATAGCTTACCATTCCGTAAATTTTCGATATTTTACAACTACCGAAAATGTCTTGGTTCTACAGATAAAATGTGCTGCAAATGAGTTGATAGTGACCAACTTAGCAAAAAAGTTGCATAAATTTATAGCTGAAGAAGGCTTACAGCCTGTGCAGCGGCAATACGTCTACCAGGAAGATCAGGTTTGTTTCTACTGTTTGTAACACATTTGCCAAAGTATAGCGACGCGACGCGCGTGAATGCCTGTGAGTGCGGCGCTAATGCACAGGGTCATGCGTGCCGCCCGCCGCAGTCTTCGCGATCGATATTAGAATTCAAAATTTTGATTCAGCTGGGACCACCTGTAGAACACCAAGAATTTCCCTTCGATGGCATTTTTGAAGTGGGCAAAGTGAAGCGACGGCAGATTCGGTTTTCCTCAAATAAGAGCATCCTGGCCATGGCAATAGTTGTCGCCGATTTGAAACCTGAAGAGCGAAATGTGATCATCAATGATCTTTGCACGTATAAGGACTTTGGCTGTTTGTAAGTTTCTACAGATGAAATTACAT